ATCTGCTAGTTTTGATATGAAAATAACAATAATACTTACGTGCAAAATTCGAGCGGACGCTTTATCGATGTTATCTCCTAGAGGAGTTCTCGCATATTTTTTGTCATTCTTTTGACAACTGGCCACCGCCACTGTAATATGTTGCATCTTAAAATCTATGTCTATACTAATATTATAAAGAGAAAAGATTTGTATTTTTGTATGTATTGAAATAACTCAAAAACTACTGGGCCGATTTTAAAAATTCTTTCACCATTAGAAAGGTAATTTATCTATTTCACGCGGGCGAAGTCGCGTTCAACAGCTAGTTTCATATAAAATTAGCTCACACCCGCTACTCCGTCCGCAGGGTATAAAAAACAAAAGCGAGTATCCTAGCTGTTCTTCCAGACTATCCTCTACGTCTATGCCATCATTTCATCGAGATCCCTTCAGCCGTTTACTACAAACTCAACAAACATGCATCCATCCATTCATATAAACTTTCGCATTTATAAGTGAGAAAAATAATGTAAACAAATACTTCGTTTGTTAGGGAATCGGTGGGGAGGGGAGCTACCAATAATGTGTTCTTATTTGTAGTAGTTTTATATGTTTTTCACATTCTTTTGTTCTATCCCCTTTTTTTTCCGAAGGGGAATGCTTTCTGCATACTCCATGCCTCGGGGCAGACACGTGAGTTATGTGGGACTCTCCCCCCATAGTGGGGGGCATACCGCACTAAACCCCTTCATTCCCTCCTGGCCATTGTGTGGGGCGCCACGGGATCGCTTTCGCTTGCCACCGCGACGCCCCACTGACCGCCCCGGGAAGGGGCCCTCGGTGCGTCCCAACGAGTTGGGACGCTGCACCCTAAGGCGCTCCTCGGAAGACGGCACCGTGCAATGCGGGCTCGGAGACTTTGTTCTATCCCCTACCCCTACCCCTGGCGACACCAAATATAGAAGACCACAGATCCCTTTGCTAAACTCGCCCCCTGATTTGATTGAATACATGGTTTAATCATGCTAATACTGATATTATAAATGTGAAAGTTTAGATGGATGGATGTTTGTTAGAGTTTGTAGCCTAAACGGGTGAACAGATTTCGATGAAATTTGGTATAGATGTAGAGGGCAGTCTGGAAGAACACATAGGCTACTTACTTTTGTTTTTTATAATTCCACGCGGACGGAGTCGCGGGCGAAAGCTAGTTTTTAATAAATGTTGTTAACTCTTTGAGATATTTCAATACAAGTTAGCATATTCAAAAACTTTGGAGCCCTCAATCGCATGTAACTTTGGATAGAGGTAAGTTGGTTCAATAGTCATCATTTTGGCGAAGGAATCTTTATGTATGAAGACGATGGCCATGCACTAACAAGATAAAATCATTTATTTTATTCTTAGTGGAGGACAAATAAAAAAATGTGAAAATGGATTTTTTTAAATTGATAATAAAAATTCAATTATTTGCAATAAGACAAAATGTACTGCAGTAATAAAGATTACATGAAATATTGTTTTTTTTTGTCCACTTACCCAAAAGCAAGAGAATTAACCACTTCATGTTGACCGTCTTTGTTGTATAACAGAAATGCACTGCGGCCACCCTTTAAATACCCTCAACCAATCGCTTGTTTTTGATTTTCTTATCTAAATTATTGTTGATAATAATACGGGAAATTTGTAATGGGAAAGATGATGAAAAGATGTAATTTTAAAAACCCTATTCATAACAATTCGATAACATCTGTTCGGGTACACATGTTGGCGACGTAATTAACCTCTTTGATATAATTTTACTTTTTATAGATTTTTAAAATTAGAATTTGTGTTCTTTTAAATTATATTCTTTTTGTAAATAATATGGCATTCTTCAAAAAATTCTTACAATGGTTGCTAGGCTGTTTGTTTAGAATTTTCCCTTTTTATATAAATTTTCATTTTAAGTTGATTTCCCTTAATTTCTCCGCGCTGCTGCTCCTTCCTGTTCGCGTCCTTTTCAACACATATAAGGAGAAAAGTATTGTTTTTTGTATGTTTGACTTGCATACTTGATATTATAAATGTGAAAGTTTAGATGATTGGATAGATGGATGTTTGTTAGAGTTTGTGGCCTACAGTGCTGAAAGGATCTCGATAAAATTTGGCATAACTATATGTAAAGGAAAGTATTTAAGAACCCTTAGGCTACTTACTTTTGTTTTTTTTTTAATTCTACCAAACTCATCATGTTGATGGCTGGCATTCCACAACCGTGCGGTTTTCGCGGAACTTTCTGCCCCGCACAGCCGCGTCGTGGAACGGTGTGTCCCCGGCGGTATTTCCAAACCAGTACGATTTAGGGTCCTTTCTATATTTTATATTATATTGGCTTGGGCTATATTTTATATTGTTACTAATGTTTAGGAACTATTAAAAAACAGCGTGTTTCTGGACGCCGGCGTTAAAAATTCAATAAACTTTAACTTTTCTTAGCTTACGCTGCCTAAACCGTTACAGGTTTCTACAGAAAAAGTCCGCGATAGCATATATGTAAATCTTTAACGGTTTTCATACGATAACCACTTTTTTGTTTACAAAATGAATTAATAACCGCACGCTATTTGCGGGCGTCCTTTTATTGGTTTCAATATTAATCCTTATCCAACTAAATGCGTTTGTTATCATGCGACTAATAGTTTAAAAGACATCGCGAACACAAACAATCAGGGTAACCGAAAAATCAGCGCACAAACTACCGGGTTTAGGAATTTGGAATCTTGCATCGGTAGATTTCTGTTATTACGTAGATTACTACTAAGTTAATACTTTTGGTAATAGGTTAAAAAAAGGTGGCGAACGTAAGTTTTGAATTTTCAAATTTCACGCAGACGAAGTCGCGGTCAACAACTAGTATACTGTAAAAGGCACTTTTAATTTACATTTAATACTGTAACTTGAAAGTATATTTATTTGGATAACAGTGGTAGTGCCCGCTTTAACAACTTAGCACTGCAGGGCCGGCACGCCCGGTGTAATACCACGACCACACAGAAGACAGGCGTCAAATGGAAGCAATTCCGTGTTTCGTCTGATGAGTGTGGTGCCGGAGGCCTAATTTAAGTCCCTTTCTCTTTACCACCCTTTTCTTATAAGGAGAGAATGGGAAGGGAAAGCTGATTTGACGGTGGAGGAGATGCATAGGAAGGGGCAATATCTTCTTTATGTGCGTCTCCTCCTCCGTCGGATAAGGGCAACGCATCTGCGATCGCGAATGTCTATGGGCAGCGGTCGCTTCGCCATTTTGGCGGATTCAGCTGCTTGCTCGTTTGCCACCTTATGTTATGAAAAAAAATAATGAGGAGTCATACCAAATACGAATGAAAGCATAAATTATGTAGATTGCATTTTAACTGATGTTTCTCTTGAAACAAACGGTATTTGTACGAGAACTATAGAAGATACTCGTAGTATGAGATGATCAAAGGATTTACGAGATAGCTTTAGACGGCTCTAAACGTACGGAATGTGGGAAACAAAAACTTAATTAGGAGCCTATGTTTTCTTTCAGAGTACCTTATACATCTATGTCAGACATCAAGATCCTTTTAGCGGTTTAGGCTAACTCTTAAACATCCCATCCATCTTTCGTATTCATGTTAACTGGTAAAAATAAAAGGTAGATATTTTGTTAAAAGGTCATATCTGTATCAGCAGGTCATGCTTGCAATATCACGACTGGTTTTTCTTTAGTGCAGTTTATTCGAAAGTTACTTATCAATCATATCATATATTGAATAATAAGAGGTCAAATACGTGAATACTAGCGATACTCCCCGACATTGTATATGTTGCAAGCATACATAAGGTCCCATATAATGTTCATAATAAAAGCCATGTAAACATGATAAAATCGTTTATATTTTTGAGTTTATATCTTACTAGCTTTCGTCCGCTACTCCGTCAGCGATGGAATTAAAAAAAAACAATAGTAAGAAGCCTAAGTGTTTATGCCAAATTTTATCGAGATCCTTTCACCAGTTTAGGCCACAAACAATAACAAACATATGGATGGATGGCCATCCAATCATGTAAACTTTCTCATTATTATATTACTAAGTACCAAGGCAAACACACAAAAAAACAAATCTTTTCCCTTTATATGTGTACTAGCAGTTGCCCGCGACTTCGTCCACGCAATATTAAGATACAAAAGTAGCTTATAGTATGCCCGTCTAAGTCAGTTACCCTTTAGTGAAAATCTGATCGAAATTGGCCCACCCGTTTCGGAGAATACCCGGAACATCGCGGCTTGCGGACAGACAGACAGACAGACAAAAAAATTAAATGCGATTTTCGTTATCAACGAATTATTATTAATATAATAGGGTTAATAACAAAGAAATTCAAAATAATACATAGAGTTGACAAAGTTGACACTTCACATGGAACATTTTTCACATAGTGTATATATGACCATATTTCAGACTTTAAAACCATACGTAAATATATTGAACTAGCTTTTGCCCGCGACTCCGTTTGCGTGAAATTAAAATAAAAAAAAAAACAAAAGTGAGTAGCCTATGTATTCTTCCAGACTATCCTCTACATCGATACCAAATTTCATCAAAATATATTCAGCCATTTAGGCTACAAACTCTAACAAACATCCATCCATCTAAACTTTCGCATTTATAATATTAGTAAGATTTTATGTAAATTATTTGCCAATGAGTGTCATTCAATAATATTTAAATTAAATGCTTGGATTTTATTTTGACACTGTTTAGTTTTTTAACAAAAGATGGAGCTAATATAATTTTCTAAAATGTTTTTTTTATATGTCAATACAAGGACACGAGATGGCGTACTAAACTTGATAACTAGTACCGAATAGAGAAAGGACCGGTAATTTTTTTTTCGCTACGCCTAGTCTATATATTTCTTTTATATCTTTGGTTGATAAGTTACTGTTTTCCTCCATCTTTTCCCTCACAAATATCCCAAACATCAACAATAATTTAGATAAGAAAATCGAAAACAAGCGATTGGTTGAGGGTATTTAAAGGGTGGCTGCAGTGCATTTCTGTTGTACAACAAAGACAGTCAACATGAAGTGGTTCATTCTCTTGCTTTTGGGTAAGTGGACAAAAAAGTAACAATATTTTATGTGTAAAAATCTATATTATCATTGCAGTAGTATCAGTACACTTTGTGCAATTACTGCAAACTAGCTGTTCACGTGCGGCTTCATCCGCATATAATTATGAAAATTTTATTTTATTTTTCACATTTGTCAAATTATCAATAGCAAATATCAAAATAACATGACAAGATGAAATAGCATGCCAACCTTGCTTCCTTGATGTTGGCAGCAACTTATGGTCTCTTTCCCACATTAGGGTTTTTATCCAAAATATTTACCCCCTAAGTTTAATAGCGTGAAAATATATTGCCTAAAGCGTGACGTAAGTGTAGGACTTTTTATTATAAAAAAGGATTTTTCAAAAATATGTTGTAATTACTGACATCTTAGGCAACAAAGAAGTGTGTGTTTACGCTTTATTATAATAGTATAGATATAGCAGTGGTAGTGCCCGCTTTAATATCTTAGCACTGCAGGGCCGGCACGCCCGGTGTAATACCACGACCACATAGAAGACAGGCGTGAAATGGAAGCAATTCTGTGTATCGTCTGATGAGTGTGGTGCCGAAGGCCTAATTTAAGTCCCTTTCTCTTTACCACCCTTTTCTTATAAGGAGAGGAGGTGAAGGGGAAGTGGATTTGACGGAGGAGGAGATACATAGGGAGGGGAGATATCCTCTTTATATGCGTCTCCTCCTCCGTCGAATAAGGGTAGGCAACGCATCTGCAGATGCGGATGTCTATGGGCAGCGGTTGCTTCGCCATTTTGTCGGATTCAAGTGGCCGCTTGCTCGCCACCTTATGTTATATATAAAAAAAAAATAGTATAGATAAATGATTTCATTATCTGTATACATATTGTAAATTTAAAGTATTCAATTTTCATTTAACCCTTAAAATGTATAGTTTTAAATATGATACCGGGGTCATAAATCGCATAAGGCACCAACGATTGATTATATTTTCGTATTAGGCTGTTTACATATTACCTTTGACTGATAATATTCAAGTTAAAAAAAGGAGCATATCATGAAAATGTGTATATGTAATATTGTTCCCCCATTTGTAGAAAGAACAGTAAAGGGTACAATTTAAGAAATCGAAAAAATTTAAGATTTAAGAAATCAGTCTTTTTTAAATTTTTTTTTTAACTTCTACAGACTCTTGGTCTGTACGCTTTTTTGCACAGCTTGTTTTATTTATTTTTTTGTTGCATAATCCGTATATCACTAGTGATATTAAAATAAATTCTTTTAATTTGTAATGCATGATCGTATTATACTCGTAATATAGGGTGATTCCTTCGCCTAAATGATGACTATTTGACCTAACTTACCTCTATCCACAGTTACTAAACGTTAGTTATGAGCGTGGAGGTACACCGGTAGAAATAGACCAAGAAAATATGGATAGTGTGAAAGGTGACTTGATCAAGAAGTAATAAATGAGACTCACACGCCGACCGTACGGTAGTATAATAAGAGTGGTAGATGAGAGGCCTATAATATCGTAAATAACATTATCTAGTCTGGAATAAATAATAGCGATTGCAAAAATTTGACATAATTTAACTAACTGTAATGCTTGTATTTTCGGATTCCCTGTTAAGTTAACTGAATTACATTTCCATGGTTTCAATAAGAATAAAATCTGCTATTTACATTAATTACTTTTTGTGATATGTGAAGAATTTTGTAGTCATCTAGCGCCCAAACTGAGCAAGCAACTTTTGATAAGGTAAGGTAAGCTAGGTCAAATCGAGATAAATTTGGTAAAGGAATAGATGGCTTTCCATTGTATACGGATGCACGTTACGATACCCACGTTATACAGGATGCCAGACAACACAAATTACTACTATTAGACAACTTATTTAATTGATACTGTCGCTTTTAACTCAGAGGAATACTTCTCGTCAAGACTCAAGTTACGCGCCAATCTATCCATACTTCTAGTGACATTGACAGCTGTCAGCTAGGAACGTGACGTTTATGCCGATAATCTAGAGTTGCGCCACTTCTATAGCACGGTACTAATTTTATTCCTAACACTACGAATAAGAATTGCCCCCCCTCCGTCCCTTTGTATAGGAATTAATTGTTTCCATTAAAAGAATAATATTATAAAATGCAACATATTACAGTGGCGGTGGCCAGTTGTCAAAAGAATGACAAAAAATATGCGAGAACTCCTCTAGGAGATAACATCGATAAAGCGTCCGCTCGAATTTTGCACGTAAGTATTATTGTTATTTTCATATCAAAACTAGCAGATCGCGTTGTCCATAAGAGTAATCTGCAGACCAGTAATATATTATGTATGCTGTAAACTGACCCGCACTTATAAAGACTTAGTGACCCCTAACTTAGATGAGGCACCGAGCTTCTTGGTAGGAACGTGTAGTGAGCTGACGATGGGCACCGAAAACATTCAAATGACCAAAAAATTTGTATTTTAATTTATAACGAAATTTTTTAAAGATTTAATATATTAGTCATGAGTTTTTTGTAATGTTTTTTGCAGGAAACCTATATACTAGCGACTGACACTAACATCGTTAGTTCACCTTTGGGGGTGATCTTTCTTTTGGCGATCTACTCCTCCGGCACTCAGGGTAAAATGAGGAATGAAATTACGAAACTGCTCGGCGAGACCGACTATATACAGGTAAAATTCGTACTAATGTTTGATTACTTATATTTTTCCAGCTAGGGCTTTTTACGTTTTTTACCTTTTAACAACAATATGTGTATAGTTACTTTTCTGATGATAACTAAAATATACGTGTAGTGGAAACCCACAGTTGAGTTAACTATTATAAAATCCAATTGCTTTGATAGATGACGGACAAGTACAGTAATCTGAGCAGCGAGTTTTCCACAATGGACTCCAACTACCTAAACCTGGCCAACAAGATCTACTTAGCCGAGAAATTCACGTTGAACAAGAAGTTTGAAAAGACAGCGCTGGCTTATGAGGCAGAGGTGGAATCAATTAACTTCCACGATACAGAGAAGGCAGCAAATACCATTAACCAATGGGTGAGACGGGTTTTTTTACAATCTGTACTATTATATTACCTGTTTGTTTCTATACTATTGTTTACTTTAAAAATGTATATTTATTGGACAGGCCAACAAAAAATTAAGAGGCATTATCACGAACCCAGTGTCAAGAAGTGATCTGCGCCCGGACGCGTCTATAGCACTCATCGACCTGATTTACTTCAAGGTAAGAAAACACAAATTATTCAACTTTAAAGTAGGAAATACTTAAACTTGGAGTAACAGACTGTAGATTTTGTGTATCTGCCAGTAGCAGACTGGGAAATTCATTAATATCAAGATAGTTCATGTGAAATCTATTTGACTGAGATGAAATGGAATGCTGGACTAAATTCGTTGACTGATGTGTCAACATAAACCTGCGCTAGGCTAGCGTGGTTGACTGACAGCTGGCTAGAGCTAGTCACCTCATCATAGGGTAGGATCCAAGCCCCTCGACGGGTATCTAAACAAAAACGTAACTACGAATATTGTTTATTTGCGTATGGATAATATGAATTACCTCCATCAGTCCAGTACCGAACAACCCAGCAACCTTTTGAGATCTTTACCAGACTTTATAAAACACTTGTACATGTTATTTAGGGACGCTTGCAAGAGGGTTTCGAAGCTTCGTTGACTGAGAATAAGGACTTCTACACCAACGAGACAACGACTGTTAAGAAAATGATGATGCACTACAGAGGCACCCTCTTGTTTAAAGATGACAGCCAGCTCGGAGCTAAGGTAAGCTCTTTTACTAATTTATGTTTATTTTATATGGTAGCTGTTGTTAATGTATTTCCAGTTGTACGCGTCTGTAGGCAATGGAAATACTTTCTTGAAACTAACAAGAGCTTCATTCCTATACAAATAATACTAACACTAACATTGTAAATGCGAAAGTTTAGATGGATGGATGTTTGTTAGAGTTTTTAGCCGAAATGCTGAACGGATTTCGATGAAATTTGGCATAGACGTAGAGGATAGTCTGGAAGAAAACATAGACTGATTTGTTTTTTTTTAATGCCACGCGGGAGAAAGCAATTTATAAATAAAAAAAACATTTTACATAAAAATTGTCAACGACGTCGGTTATCATATAAGCAACCACAATAACGAATTGTAACGAATCACGACATTCGATCTACTCTTATTTTACTCAAGTTCTTTATTTGTCTCACGCCACTCCTAGCTGCCAGTAACTTCAACAGCTGTTGTATCGTTTTGACTTCGCACAGACACATACACACGCACCTTTGAATTTCATTGCAGGTGGTAGAGTTACCATACCAAGAACCCGGTTTCCGCATGGTGGTGATCTTGCCGAAAGAAGTGGAAGGTCTCCCAGAGGTCCTGGAGAAGGTAGCGCGAACTGGTCTACTGGATTACGTCTTCGGCATGCGAACCTCCAGATCTGACATCGATTTGTATTTACCCAAATTCGACATCAAAAGTAGTCTGAATTACGCAGAAATATTACCAGAGGTATGTTGTATTTCGTTTTTCTAAGCCTTTGTCATTGTCTAACAATAATTGTTATCATGCAGTCTTGCTTCTTTGTTGCTATTGACTTGTAGTATGGTCCTGTACTCGTATGACTATTTTTCCAATGTCATCACCCCTAAATATAATAGCTTTAAAATATCTAGCCAAAGCATATCTTAAGTGTTACGGGTTTAAATTATTAATAAGTTTGTGTCCGAGCTTAATTACATTAGTAAAGATGTATATAACTGTACGCGGCAATGCTTTACAGACTGTTTATTTTGTGACAGGTGGGAGTGAATGAGATATTTAGCAAGGGAGCGGCTGGCGTAGTGGACAACGACGTTGTTACTGTATCTAACATATTCCAAGAAGCCGCAGTGAGGGTGGACGAGGCAGGCTCTAGTGCAGGCGTAACTGGCGGTAAGAAACATTCATAGTAATGACACTAACACCATGATAACACCATGAGGTGTTGATAGCATTTTTACTCGACTAGTAATACTTATTGCTTTATGTCGATGTGTAAAACGTCCATTTAATTGCCCCATATTTGGAATGAGGATGTTTTATTTCGTTAGTACAATGCTACAATATTCTGCAATGTCATGGGACTAGAACGTAGTTTGTTCAACAACTATTAATTTAACTCAGATATCAAATCTTGAAGGAATTAAGTATTCAGGTTTTCCGGTTTTCATACTTTCTTGGTTTCTTACTTTTCAAATTTAAACGTTACAGGAAGCAATGCAGGTCCAAAGGCTTCAGACTCCAGGGCATCATCACAAGCATGGGAGTTCATCGCGGACCGCCCATTCCTCTTTACCATTCTATATCACGATGTGGTCGTGTTTCTTGGCACATACACTCATTGAGTAACCAAGATATTTGTTCATTTTTAATAAATATTTTATTAAAATAAATGTTTTGTTTCAATTCTTTTTCTGCATAACCTAAAAAAACCTAAATAAGTTAGATACTGTGTAGTTAAAAGCGTGTTTTACTTGACCTAAGCCTCGCGTTGTTTTTTTTTAATCATCAGGTAGTGCTCTTTATATCATATGAGCCTTTTAAAATAAAAAAAACTGACTGGTTATTCTTTACATAACCATAGCAATGCGTTTAGTACGCAATGTCCGTTAAAAATCTGTTTTGCTTTCTTATCTTAGGTACCTAGTATTTGAATAAAATGGTGTATCAAAGAATTGTAGCTCATTAAATATAATACACGTTTATATTCTATATCTTATTTGCAATACCTTTTTATTGCATTAAACATTATAGTGTGTCTAAATAATTTAGATTAGTTTGACAATTCATTTCAAATTTAGTAGAGATGTGTTGTGTAAAATCAGTCATGAATCTTATCGATTTTCGATTTTTATTCTTATAGAATTTGGAATCGATAGATTTATTGTTTTGACTTATGAGTTTAAAAAAAAACACTGTTTTCTCAAATGACTAATGACTATAACAAATAATGAGAGTAAATAAATGTTTATAACTACTACAGCCGTACGTAATCGAATTGGATTTCGCTATTATTTCTGTCATCGCTAAATTCTCTACACTATAATCAATAATAGAATTGTCCTCTAAATTAGTGAATAAGAAAATAATAATTTTAGTTGAGTTTGTTACTTATTTACACGGAATATCGATAGTTCAAAATTGATCGCTATGTGTGTTTGTTCGTCACTACGATACCTGTCTATTGAGTATGGCATTTGACTTCATATAAATTGAAGTCGGTACTACATATGCGTCATTTATCAAACTAATCTAAATTATTTAAACACACTATAGATGTGTTATTTTTCAATATGACTTAATGCGCATTATAATTTTCATTTGAACTATACAATTTTGAATAACAGTTTTGATCCATGTGATCTATATGTAGGTAAAAGGCGTAAAAAGCTGCCACCATAATTACTGCAAATAGAATTTTTGCACTGTGCCTATCGCTTTTTAGTTACTAAATGCCAAAATTAAATAGACACGAAATACCACTGCTCGTAACCTGTCCATGCAATCGGGGTGACTATCCATATCTAAAAATACTCTTTGGAGTGGTAGCAACACTGATTCTTTTTGCCTTTCACTATCATAAACATAATGCACGGTTCACACTTGGCTAGTACAGTAAGTCAGTAGAACTCAATACCTTAACTGTCAATCAACTAGCACAATATGAATGCTAACTGGCACCACCACCACTATCAGACCACTGATTGGCGAAGCGTTTTACTTTTTTGGACAGTCCAGCCATTCCGTCACAACTGGCGTAGTGTGAATTTTCCCTATTCTGTAAGTAATGATACAACCTGTTGCTTATTTAAGATAATTATTGTTTGGACAGTGAATCTGGACTTTTTCGCCATTTTTTTCAGTTAGTTGTTTTTAATCTTTCAAAGCTTTTATCCGCCATTTTCGCTATTTGAAAAAAAAATATTTTGAGGGAGCTTAATGACTGTGCAGGAGTTTCAAAAAGTTTAACGGATACTGAAATGCATACACTGCTGGAATGTAGCTACAATGGAAAAATGGTAACTTAAATTTTTTTTTTTGGGTTTTATTGTACAAAAAAATTGCAACTGCATTTTGCTCTCTCATTCCCTCTGTTACGATGACTTCAAATTAAATTGGACTGGCATAATGAGCACAAACAGCGCCAATACAGTCCCTGCCAAACCAATGCTGCGGACAACGTACTGGCAAACTGGAAACCGGGCAACCGAAAGAAAATAATAAAAAAACAACAAAACAAACGATGTGTTTGACATATGATTAAAACGAATTGTACTTATTATATTTATATTTATGTTATAATTGTTATTCCTGTTTCCGTGTGTGTTATAGTACTTTTTTATTGCTGTAAAGATTAATTTTAAAGAACGGATCGAATAATTTGATATCTACCAATAATTTGACATCGTGAGAAAAGGTAACATCTTTGTTTCAGTTAATTTGATTTCGCATTATCTTTATTGATACCTTTATCTTTTATATAAATCACTGTTTTGATTTTTCCTTTATTAATTTTATGTAGTAATTAAAAAATCACCTCATCGCCCACAACATTGTACGTTTTTTTGGTAATATGGACATGAAATGATTAAAACATTTAGTTTTGATAGTGTCTTGTTATTGTTAGATATACGCTATACGCCCGCTTTAATATCTTCTCACGAATGGGTCGGCACGCCCGTTGCAATACCACGACCACTCAGAAGACAGGCGTGAAGTGGGAGCAATTCGGCGTTTCGTCTGATGAGTGTGGTGCTGGAGGCCCGTCTGTAGTCCCTTTTCCTTCCCACCCTTTTTCTTATAAGTAAAGGATGGAAAGGGAAATTGCATTTGACGCTGGAGGAGATGCATAGGAAGGGGAAATATCCTCTTGTGGGAAATTTCCTCCTCCGTCGATTAAGGGTAGACAATGCATCCACTTTTGCAAATGTTTAAGGGCAGTGGTCACTTCCCCATTTAGGCCGATTCGGGTGGCTGCTTGCTCGTTTGCCACCTCATAGTATAAAAAGAAAAGATGTATTATGATTTCTTTTTTCTAGGTTGTCTTTTGTCTACAACTAAGCAAGTTAAGATAATGACTTCAATTTTTGAGAATCCCGGGTAAGCTTTTTATTGTTTATCTAAAAATTAAAACAATAACCAACTTTTTATTAGTTAAATTAACAATCTATATCTAGACTAGTCTGTCTATGTACTAATATTATAAAGACCATAGATTTGTATTTTTGTATACTGAAATAACTCAAAAACTTCAAAATTTCTATCACCATTAGATATGTAATTTATCTGTGAGTAACATGGGCTAAGTCTTTTATTCAATTTTTATTTCATGGGGACAAACAGCTAGTTTTAAATTAATTAATTTATTATATTTGTATTGTAAATATGAACTTCTAAGTAATCATAATTATGTACAAGTTCTGTTAAATCCGAAGCTTGTATAAATTTAATAAAATTTAGGTATGGCTTACTTATTACCTATTACTGCAATTAAATTAAGTAACCCATAAGAAACCACACCCTTATACTTCAAAATTAATTGAGGAAATTTATAATTACTATACATGCTTTTTAGAAATTTTAGAGTATAAGAGATTGGTAATTTTTTCTTGTCATAAATATATATCAGCTTAAGACTATCCACATAAAGTTATTAAAAAAATTAGTGAGTAGGTCAAGTCTTCGGGACATATTTAACATTTTATCCCAATTTCACCAAGATCCATTAAGCTATTTTGAAAATACAAAGTAAAAAACATCCATCCATCGAAACTATCACCTTTATATACATACTAGCTTTCACCCGCGACGCTGTCTGCGTAGAATTAAAAAAAAACAAATAAGTAGCTTTTGTGTTCTTCAAGGATATACTTTACATTGATTCCAAACTTCATAGAGGCCCCTTCAGCCGTTTAGGTTATCTAACAAACATCCATCCATCTAAACTTTCGCATTTTTAATATTAAGTAAGATGAAATATGATAGGAATACAAACAAAGTACAGTTTCTAAAAACATTTAATAAAACATTTAAAGCTATAATTTTCAATGAGTAAATGTACCAAGAAACACTATCACATCTTGATGAAGAATGGTAAAGAGGAACGGGTGGTCAACAATAAAGTCCATTGGCGGAGGGGACTTATACCTTGTAGACAAAGGAACAATTACAGCCCCTGTGAAATGTAAGAAATATAGGTTACATGACATTTAATTAGAAACCAATGTTTTTATAGACCTACAAGGAAATAATTTTTCTATATAATTCTGGAAATAATTTAGATTAGTTTGACAATTCATTTCAAGTTTAGTAGGGACGGGTTGTGTAAATTCAGTCATGTATCATATCGATATTCTATTTTTTTTCTTATAGAAGTAGGAATCGATAGATTTATAGTCATAACTTATGAAATAAAAAAAACACTTTTCAAATTAATAATGACCATAACAAATAATGAGAGTAAGTAAATATTTATTGCTAATACAGCCGTACGTAATCGAATTGGATTTCGCTATTATTTCTGTCATCCCTAAATTCTCTACACTATAATCAATACTAGAATTGTCCACTAAATTGGTTAATAAGAAAATAATAGTTTTAGTTGAGTTCGATGATTATTTAAGCCGAATATCGATAGTGCAAAATTGTTAGCTATGCGTGTTTGTTTCGTCACTACGATACCTGTCACCGACCGATACCGATACCGATTAAGCATGGCATTTGCCTTCATACAAATTGAATTCGATACCTCATATGCGTCATTTATCAAACTAATCTATCTTATTTAGACAAACTATAATTAGTTGAATGTCAAGATGATAGCTTTATAATTTGACAGGTTTACGTATGAACCTTTGCGGCTTTTTTGTGCTTTTTTGATGTTATTAAAAAAACATGCTAGAGTTAGGACTTGCTGGTAACCCCAAATGCTCATAGACCCTAACATGTTCTGTTTCACGGGCCAATCATGCTGTCTCATTTCCCATTGTAAATCCGCCAGAGGCGGGATGGTTTTCACCCGAAAGAAATAATTTACAATGAAAAATAAGCTTGGATTGTTGCTTTATGATTTTATACAAATTAAATTAAATGCAGTCTTTTAAACATTTTGTATCTATTTTTAATTAGATGATTCGATTCTCAAATGCGATTGAGGAAGAAACGCCACTGATCCCTACCCCGGTTTGAATATAAACTATTACCATATTTACTTGAATTGAATAAAGGATATGTGTAAAGTTAAAATTAAAACATCAGGTGTTTACAATTAATTTATTTGTAATACAAATTTGGGAGCAATTTTCTTGATACAAATTCTAATCAACACACATAACTCAATGTGTGTTTGTGCCAAGAAATAGAGTCACATCTTTATGTAGAATGGCAAATAGGAATGGGTGATCAACAATGAAGTCCATTGGCGGTGGGGGTCTTGAGATGAAGGACAATTTTACAGCTGTATAGCCTGAGAAATTAATAAGCTATCGGTAATTTATCTGAACTGACCCCACTCATAATCACTAAATGATAATATAGGCAGTCCCTAAAAAATTCAATGACTGAGTCGGACAATTAATAGTTGATTGTTAAACAAACTAGTGTATAAAAGCTGATAGGAATAAAAGCGTTATTAACCAGTTGTGCGATGGTTTAGTCAAAAGTGTGCGCGCGCTCGAAACCAGCCAATCCTCGGCTCATAGTCGTAAACTCTCGGAAATACTAAATATTTTGAAGTTGTTGCCCAGGTTATATGATTTAGTATTAAATTATGAAAGTGGCGTAAATGTATCTTACCAGTGAATGCGCCCGCTTTAGCACCTTCTTCGTCAACATTTACTGCGGCTTCTTGGAATATTTTTGATATGGCAACACTGCGCTCCTTCACTATGCCATGGGCTCCCCCCGAAAATATACCTTTTACCCCTAACTGTAAAAAAAAAACAAATCTTTAAAACACCTTACATTGAAGTAACTATTGTTGTAAGCAGTAGTAACTTACTAAATAGAAACACCTCATACCTTTGGTAATATTTGAGTGAAATCAAGACTACTTTTGATATCGAATTTTGGTAAATACAAATTGACCTTCCTTCTCGCGGGACTCAAAGCGAACACATTATCAAGTAGTCCCTTTTGTGCCACCTTCTCCAAGACCTCCGGGAGACCATCCACTTCGTTCGGCAAGATCACCACCATGCGGAAACCGGGTTCCTGGTATGGCAATTCTATCATCTGTGAAGAAATTCAAAGGTGCGTGAAGTCTACGTGAAATCTACCATAGAAAAAAGCTTTAATAGTGATTTAGCTTACTTTAGCTCCGAGCTCGTCATCCGCGTTAAAGAAGAGGGATTTCTTGAGGTGCATCATCCGTTTCTTAACAGTTAAAGTCCTGTTGACGTGGAAGTCCTTGTCCTCAGTCAACGAAGCTTGGAAAGGAACATGCCAGTGACCCTGAATTTTTAAAGTGTTATTATAACTCGTAAAGGTCTTTAACGATATCAAGAGTGTGCTGGGTTCCTAACGTTTTGCTGATGGAAGTAATTAATTTTTGTATATTCAAATCATACTTTATACTAATATTATAAATGCGAAAGTTTAGAGGGATGGATGGATGGATGTTTGTTAGAGTTTGTAGCCTAAACGTCTGAACGGATTTCGATGAAATATGGCATAGACGTAGAGGATAGTCTGGAAGAACATATAGGCTACTCAGCTTTGTTTTTTAATTCCACGCGAACATTAATAAAAGTAATGCCATAGCGGGCATACGAAATGAGATTTTGTAGAGGATTTTTACCCTAAGGAAGGTCGGCTCAGTATGTACTGCTCTTCCCTACACTTATATCGGTTGTCATATCTGAACTCACTCCCTTATTCTCTTTCACATTTCAATCCATACTTTCTTCGGTCTTCCTCTACCTTTGTGTTGTAGCCTTCCAAATTCCTTCTTAATACTTTCCTGTTTGATCGTCGTATGTATGATTATACCAAGCATCAAGGCCTGTTCTTTCATTGTATGCCAGTCTTATAGCTTTATTATAAACTCTTATTAAACGATTTCTCCACTTTACACAAAAGCAAAAGTGTCACGTTGAATCTTACCTTGAAATATATCACGTTGAATAGTGCCACCAATGCGTCTTTGTCTAAAGATGATTTCGACACGGGGTCTTTGATGAGGCCTTTTAATTTTTCATTCGCCTGCAAAACATACATTTTTAAAGCAGAGATAAAGTGATGCAATGTTATTATCAATTTTTAATAATTGCAGGTCAAAAGAAGTTTATAAACATTTACTTATAGTGCAAAGTTATTTTGTTATAAAAGTTTATCAGTGTACATGTTTTTTGAACACAAATATTGTATTTATCATATTTACTGAGTGTTGCTATCGGCCATTGTATTATTTCACTCGATGTTCTCGTGCGGTATGAAAAACCTTTATTTTATTGTTTACGTTTGTGATCATTTTCTATTGCTAATTTCAAAATTTAAATGCTCAATAACAAGGACCTTAGACAATGGATAACAACGACCGTTACCATGGTAACTTTGCTTTGATGCTATTAGCTTGTAGTTTTGTCCTTTTCCCGCATGAGGTGTTTTTTAAAATTATTTTCTCCCTAAGTTTAATAACGAGAAACCCTAAAGCGTATCGTAATTGTACGTACGTATTCCTTTTCTTAAAAATATGATATTCATAAATATACTTTGATTGCTGACATCCTACGTAACTAATAAGTGTGTGTTTACGCTTTATTTTATTACTATAGATAGATATAGATTTCTACTGCACTATCTGTGGAAACAAAAAATCAATATGAAGTTACATTACTTTTTAGCTTCCTATTTCCTATTCTAAGGGTAGTGATCTCTGTTACCGAAACAAGATGGCCGTTTACTAGGTATTATAAAAAACACTAGCCTAAGCCTACTTACCCATTGGTTAATAATATGCGCTGCGTTGTCTACGTTGTGGAAGTTGATAGAGGCCACCTCGGTGTTGTAGGTGGTCGCTGTTCTGAAGAACTCATCATTCAGACCGCACCCTGAGGCCACGTAGATCTTGTTGGCCAGAGATAGGTAGCTGGAGTTGATTGAAGCGTACTCCTTGCTTAGACCACTGTAGCTGTCCAACATCTATCAAATTTTATTTGGTTAAAACAACGGAAGGTAATGTTATATAGTAAAATTGAGCGCCAATAGCCTAATGGTAAACCCCCCCTGGTTTCGGATCATGTGGTCGAGGGTTTGATTCCCGCCATTCGACTATTGGTGTAAAACAATTCGATTACGTACGGCTGTGGTATAATTAATTATTTATTTACTATCATTATTTGTTATGGTCATTATTAATTTGAGAAAACAGTGTTTTTCTTTTATTTCATAAGTTATAACTATAAATCTATCGATTCCAACTTCTATAAGAATAAAAATCGAAAATCGATAAGATTCCTGACTGATTACACAACCCATCCCTACTAAATTTGAAATGAAATGTCAAACTAATCTAAATTATTTAGACACACTATATGATTGAACTTTTGCTAATCTGCTAATGCTAATGTTTATTATGTATATTCGAAAGGAAGGATGGATGTTTGTTACTTTTTGACGGACAGTCACAACGGCCTGCAATAAAATTTGCCACCGATATAGAACACAGTCTGGAAGAACTTACTCAGTTTTATTTTTAAAGTCGGTGTGGGCGACGTTGCTGGTAAAAGTTAGATAAAATTTATACAATATACTAACTGTTACTGGCGACTTCGTCCGCGTGAAATTATTAAAAAGTAGGAAAATGTACCCTGTGTTACTCACTGATAACATAGCTTTTTAATGGTGTATTGTTCAAATCGGCCCAGTAGTTTTGAGTTATATCAGTATATAGACAAAACCAAAAATACAAATCATCCGTCTTTACAATATTAGTGTAGATATAACTTGGTATGCGTTAACGTAAAACAGTAATTTACTATATACGGTTAACATGTTAAAACGTAGTTTTGATTTGGATCGATTTATCGTGAGGTTTAAGATAAAAAGGTAATATAGAAACATACAGACGTTTTGAGAACCATCTCTTATTTGTAGATAGTTAAAAACTATAAATATTTTTAACGGTTTTCCCATTTACTTACCAAAGATTTTTATAAGAGAAAATGTAAAATTATTTGTCTTTCTGAACGGAAAGTAAGAATTAATATTTGTTACCTCCTTGTAGTCGGTCACGTGAAGTAGTTGTGTAATTTCATCCCTCGTTTTACCTTGGGTGCCGGAAGAGTATAGCGATAAAAGCAATAACACCCCCAAGGGTGAAGTAACCACGTTCGTATTTTCCGATGACAGGTAAGCTTCCTGTAAACATGTAAATAAACTATCAACTGATAATAATCAATAGAAATTAAACTTAATGCTATTTAAAATTTCGTATTCGGCGCTCGAAGACAACGCCATCTGTTCTTTTGTTTTGAAATTAATAATTTCACTTACCCTTAAAAGTTTAACGGATGCTTTGTCGATGTTATCCCCTAAGGCAGTTCTAGAATATTCGTGGTCTAAAAACGAATCCACAGAACTGGCCATCGTGACTGCAATGTAGGTCAACAAAAAATATTAATTTATTGGACGACTTCTTTTTTTTTTTTCATTAATTAGCAAAGGTTTAATTTTTGTTCTGCTTTATAAATGTATAAATTTAATTTAATTAACAATATAATATCCTACGCACATAATAAGAGTGAATATTTAATTTGTCATTTTTTCAGCAAAAATAATTTTTATATTAGTTTATTCACTTACCCAAAAGCGAGAGAATCAACCATTCCATATTGAGTGTATCTACTGCACCACTGCAACTCTCTGCGATTGGCCTGGCCTTTAAGTAATCGTTTATTTAACTTTTCTTATCTGAATTATTGTTGACATTTGGAGAAATCGCGGTCTGACGAGAGACGATCGCGCGGCCGGCTCCTCGTGTCGTTCTACAGTTGGCTCATTAACGGTTTTTTCGTTCACCATTCCTGTAGGAATAAATGGGTACAAAGATCAACCGGGTTATTGTGCATGTATATTAAACAATTGTCATCAATTCACAACAATCTACTTCAAAATTTCCGTTAATTCAAGGTGGGTTTAGCAGTGCGATCATCTACACTTTGAAATGTCATTGTGACATACATAGCTTTGCATAGCAAAAGTCAACAATTGTAATAAATGTACGGATTTGTGTGTTCCTTTTTAGATTTGAGATGCGGGACCTAGTGCAGCGCGGCAACACGCTGCAGGCCACGTTAATCGTCACTAACTGCAATAAAGAGTTCCAAACGAAGAGCAGCTCCGTGATGACAATCAACGGCGCCGCCAAATTCCAGGTGGTGCTCATCGTATCCTGTAATCAACACATCTATTACAACCTTATCTTTATAAGATTCTATAAAGTCCGCAAAGACGACGACCTCATGTACACAATCACCTTGTCCAGCAGTTACTTGCAGATTGAAAACAAAATATTTCACGCCGACGACGGAACCTGGCATCTCATAAAAGAAATTAAAGCAAGGCAGTATAGTTTCGATATAAATGTTGTGATGAACATAGTGGCGTGCAGCACGTTCGCCGCGCTGTACGACGACGAGGATCTTATGGACTTCGAGCTACGCGGCGAGGACGGGGCCGTGCGCGTGCACCGCGCCGTGCTGGCCGCCTGCAGCCCCGTGCTGCGCCGCATGCTCAGCGGCGGCTGGCGCGAGACCACCGAGGGACACGTGGACGTCCCTGGCACATCCATGAAGACACTCCAAGACTTTAAGAGCTACATATACAAACACATTCTGCCTGACGCTGGCCTGGAGCCCATTCTGTTACTGGCCTCGTATTATATGATGCCGGGACTGGAACAGATGTGCGTGAACCGGTTGGTGGGCTCGCTGGTTGCGGAGAACGCGTGCGAGTTGTTGCACTTCGCGGCCAAGCACCGCCTCACGCGGCTACTGCTCGCCGTCCTGGACTACGTGCAGAGGGGGGTCATTAGCGTCGACGACATACGCAAACACTCCATGCGCACCACACGCCCGTAAGTGCATTGCTAATTACCACTTTGCAATCCCTAATATTACACCACGTACCACGATTTTGCGGCCAGCGCTTCTCAACTAGCCCCTATCTTGCAACTGGACATGTATTGCTTGCTTAATATTAGTATATTATATTTGTGTCTTGTTGTAATAATGCTTGCGCTCCCGCAACTTGGTCTGTTGAGCGCTGTTGGTAATTTCCAGGCGCTTAGTGGTCAATAAGCAGACCAGTGTTCAGTTCCATTCATTTTATTACAAGTCGTAACTTATAATCTTTAAAAAATTGAAGCAAACTTCTGCTTTACACCGTCGCTATATTCGAATTATGTAAAACAAGTGTGTGTAATTTAAATAGAATGTAATTGATCGATAGATGTGATGGCGCAGAGGCTGGAGTAAGTAGCTCGACTGACATCGCTGCTCCAGCAAGCCAGTGCAGATCCGATGTGAACCCGATGGCCGTGCCCACATCTACTGACAATGTTTAATAGTAAATGTAGTAAACCAACAATTACGCTGGAATCTGTAAGCTTAGCTTAATAAAAAGTTGTCGTCGTTTGGCATTTCCCCGCCACTTTTAAATTGGGCGTGGCCGGCGCCATCTCTGATTTGTTGACGCAAAAAATATGTCCTTCATAAAGAGTTTTAAGTTTCGTTTTTACTTAAGACAGGTATTTATATATTGTTTTAAAAAAAAAAAGTTAATTTCTTAATATTGCACGTCTTCAGAGAAGATTGTGGTTAAAACACTTTTATCCTAGAAAAACAGATTTGTATTAAATATTGTGTACTTAGTACAATTTTTATTATAAGAGTTAAGAATATTACAATAATAAGGAGATCAGTTATAATTGCGAGGTGATTCTCTGATATTTAAGACTGATTCATCACTCGTGCTTCATTTGTTAGACAACTTGTACATGATTCTATTTTCCACGAAAAATTGTAAGAAATTTGTAGCCTTTTCTGTCTTATGTTAAAAAAATAAGCTCCTGTAAGGAAATTTTAAGTTAGTATTTGGTTATATTTAAACCAGAAAGTGTTAAGAATGAATGTGGATGGCTACAAAAGAAGAGGAAGACCGAAGAAAGTATGGATGGATTGTGTGAAAGAGGATATGCTTAAGAAAGGAGTGGATTCAGATATGACGGCTGATAGAGATGTATGGAAGAGCAGCACATACTGTGCTGACCCTCCGTAAGGGATAAGGGCTATTTGATGATGATTTGGTTACATTTAAATAGGAACCCATCTCTAGTGAACTAGATAAGACTTGTCATTTAATAATCTAAATTTTTTATAATAATAAAATTAGGCCATTTATATGATCCAGTGCCAATATGTCTTCTATGTTTTATTGTTTATATAGAGATAAATTTTTAATTTGTGTTAGTCTGCAATATAAAAGAATTATTCTATCTTTGTTTTATACAGGCTGTCCCGTAATTTTGGATAATCCTGAAACCCCCAATATTTTATGTCAGAGACGAGAACAAAAAAAAAATTACATTTCGCTATCGTAAAATAACCCGAATGCTTGAATGTCAACACATAAAAAAACAATTTAAAAGGTATTGAAATGTGTAATATTGAAACTTAACACAAGCAATGTTTATATTACTCTGTATTAATCGAAAAATTTGAGAATTACATAGACTTGGCATAGTGAACAAAAATTTTTCACCGGTACTTTCTCCGAACGGTACTATATCGGATGTTACGTTAAGTACACCGCCTCGTGTCCTTGTATTGACATGTAATAATTTTTTTTTACAAAATTTTAATAAACTATCTTTTCTTATTAATTAAACTTAACAGTGTATTTTATAACTATTGGCAATTTAATTATTAGTGAGATGATGTGAAAAATGCCTCAAGTGAATTGACAACTATGCCTCTTCTATATATTTCCTAAATCTTTTTGCTAACCGCAAAATTTTTGTTAACGGTGATAGTGCCCGCATTAACATCTTAGCACTGCAGGGCCGGTACGCCGGGTGTAATACCACGACCACACAGAAGACAGGCGTCAAATGGAAGCAATTCCGTGTTTTGTCTGATGTGTGGTACCGGAGGCCTAATTTTAGTCTCTTTCTCTTTACCACCCTTTTCTTATAAGAGGATGGGAAGAGGAAGGGGATTTGTCGGTGGAGGATATGCATAGGAAGGGGAAATATCCTCTTTATGTGCGTCTTCTCCTCCGTCGGATAAGGGTAGGCAACGCATCTGCAATTGCGGTTGTATATGGGCAGCGGTTGCTTTGCCATTTTGGCGGATTGAGGTGGCCGCTTGCTCGTTTGCCACCTTATGGTATAAAAAAAAACAAAGCTTCCGTAAGCTAAAAATGCTACTAATATTCGGATGGCCAGATTGACCGCATCTATTAGAATAAATTGTTTAAAAAGAATGATAGTTGTGGTGATTAAGGGATTATTAATTACCTGACATCCTGTATACCTCATCTAATAACATAGGGTAGGCTTTATATTGGAGGTATACGTATATGATTGTTACAAATATGCATATATTATTAATTCTGTTTTTATTTGCAAAGAATACCAAATCTATCTCATAATTTAGATGTTAGAGTTTGTAGTTTAAACTATGAACGGATTTCAATCTTCGGACCAGAAAAAAACACACAGACGAATTAAGTACCTCCTTCTTTTGGGAAGTCGGTCAAAAAACACATGGCCTTCTTACTTTTCATTATTTTAATTTCACGCGGACAAAGTCGCGGGCAAAAGCTAGCCTAGTATATATATAAAAAAGGAAAATTGGACTAATCTACCTAAACTATTAACAAAAATTTCTATAAAGGTCACACTCATCGACAGATACCGATATCGATAATTTGTGTGAAATCCATATTTATTTTGTTCTTGATATATTGGCACTATGTGTCATGAATATGACGTTTGCGGCTTCATGTTAGCAAGATTATTTTCGACTTTTCACTCCCGTCCATACTAGCTGTTGCTTGCGACTTCGCCCGCGTGTACTTAAAAAAAATGTAGCCTCTGTTACTCACAGATAAATTACCATTCTAACGGTGAAAGAATTTTTAAAATCGGCCCAGTAGTGTTTGAGTTATTTCAATACATACAAAAATACTAATCTTTCCTTTTTATGAACGTTATATATACAGTATAGATTACGCTATTATGTAAGGCACTCCCGTCGCTTAAACGTAGTGATATTCTTTGCCCGTCTGACCCGGTAGCATACGCACTAAATTGAAATACAGACAGTCCTCGATTTATGTCGTTTCAAGTTACGTCGAAAATAAAAATAAAACACTTTTTTTGACCAAAAAAAAATTAGACGAATACAACTTACAAAACATATTAAATAAAAAACATATTATTAACAAAACATATTACTGAAATAAAAATTCTTGGCCAAAAGGAGAAGGCTCAGGTGATGCGGCCTCCAGTTTGTCACTAAAGACCGCGCTGGTTTTCAGCCTCCATAAGTCATTTGTTTCAATTTCCGGCTTAGGAAATTTTGAGAAAAGTTTTAACGTTAGTAAAAAATGTGTGCAGCCTATCAGTGTTACCAAGAAATGATAGCGAGAAAGAATGGAAGCAATCTAGAATTGATAAGTTTCTTTCAACTACAAGTTTAATTTGTTATTTCTTATTACATATGTATTTTGATTTTAAAAAGTTTTATAACTATTATTAAAATTAATAACCCACAAATACCAAAAATAACTAGCTATTTCATAAGTACATATACATTTTTTTAAGAACTTTGTTATAATGTAAATGCAGTTATTTTGAATCCGTGTGGAACCTAACCCTTGTATTTTACATGTAAACATATAAAAAAATATGTCTCGATTTCCGTCGCGTATTTCGAGAACCTAACATTCCGTAAGTACGAGGACTGCCTGTACCTCATTACCGACAACTTGTCATTTCTTAGACTGCCATGACAATATTCATATATTTTTTCATGGTCTGAATAGGATAAGGAGAAAGTTGAGTCTGACTGAAAAGATTGTTGTAACCTCTCACGTTATAGTAGTTATTTAATTTTGTTTTCCTCTCTACAATTAGAATAATTGTTTTGTTATTTTCTAAATAAATGTAATAACTTTTGATATAAATCTTTGTTTTAATAATTCTCTGGAAATGTTTTAGCTTAGCCAATAAGAAATAAGATATTGTTAATAAAAAAGAAAAAAAAAACAATAGTTTTTTTATAATGTTTTATTAAGTTCTAATAACCTTTTAAATTACTAATTTATTTTTCTTAAATACTAATACGAAAACGAGAAACAGTTTTCTTATCCCAGAGTGTTTTACAGCAATCTGTTAATGCAGGTTTCACATAACCAGCGAACTCTGCGTACGGCATTCTCATCTACACTATTATAATAAAGCGTAAACACACATTTCTTTGTTGCCTAAGATGTCAGCAATTACAGCATATTTTTGAATAATTACACATTTGATAAAAAGCCCTGCACTAAGGACACGCTTTGGCTATATATTTTCACGCCATTAAACTTGAGGAGTAAATATTTTGGATAAAAACCCTAATGTAGGAAAAAGACCATAAATTGCTGCCAACATCAAGAAAGTAAGATTGACATGGTTTGTCATGTTATGTCAGTTTGACATTTGCTATTGATAATTTGACAAATGTAAACAATAAAATAATTTTTTTTTAATTTCATGCGGATGAAGCCGCACGGGAACAGCTAGTTACTTATAACGGGTATGGGCAACCTTTGACATGTTGAGGGCCAAACTTTAGCGTGCAAATACTTTCGAAAGCTGTAACATCAAAGGATTTGGTGTTTGCCGCCTCACTCACTCTCTGAATAAAAGTACCTAATGTTTTTAAATGTTTTTTTTTTTCAAAATGCCTCGTGAGCTGTATCATATCTTACTGTGCTTGTTGCACATATATGTCAGATAGAACTAAAATGCTACATTGGAATGTCTAAAGTTTTTACATGTTAAAATATCAGTATATAGTTGTACCTTCAGTTTCAACTAAAAAGTCGGTTCACTTATTTAAATAATAGTTATAGTGTGTCTAAATAATTTAGATTAGTTTGATAAATGACGCATATGAAGTACCGAATTTAATTTTTATGAAGTCATATGCCATACTTAATAGAGGTATCGTAGTGACGAAACAAACACGCAGCGAACAATTATAAACTATCGATATTCCGTTTAAATAATTATCGAACTCAACTAAAATTATTATTTTCTTATTAATTAATTTAGTGGAAAATTCTAGTATTGATTATAGTGTAGAGAATTTAGCGATGACAGAAACAATAGCGAAATCCAATTCGATTACGTACGGCTGTGGTAGTAATAAACATTTATTTACTCTCATTATTTGTTACGGTCGTTATTCATTTGAGAAGTGTTTTTTTTTTTTTATTTCATTAGTTATAACTATAAATCTATAGATTCCAACTTCTATAATAAAAATCGAAAATCGATAAGATTCATCACTGATTTTACACAACCCATCCCTACTAAATTTTAAATGAATTGTCAAACTAATTTAAATTATTTAGACAAACTATAAACAGTGTATTTAATGACAACTATTGGTAATTTAAATAAAATTAATTATGACATGTGGGTTTGAGGATGTCTCACACGGCCTAAGTATTTTTGAAACCGAAGGCCTATAGGAGTTTATAAGTTTACATTTACGTGTAGCTGATTGTACAGTCCGATTGTTCAGTTAAAACTGAGGTGTGTGTTAAAAGTACCGTATAAGCAATGTTTTCATTTCTACCACAACGCTTGTACTTGTCTGTTACATTGCCACTTTTATAAAAATCCTCAAATTTTTTTAATTACACAATATTGTAAGCGAGTTACGATAATTCAGCAATATATAACCTATAAATAAATAAACATCGAAATAAAATCTTAAAGCTTAAACTAAATAAATGAAGCATCAAAAGTGGCAAATTTTTACCTTAAAAACTAGAATTTAAAATATTAGTGTACACATAAAAAATATTTTTATTATAGTTGGGTGGTTTATACACAGAAGGAAAGTAGAAACACTTCAGATGAAACATAAACTTTTACTAGTGTCCAAAAAAAATAAAGTAGAATTTGACGTATCTATATTTTCTCCAAAAGAATCAAATATGTGTACAGTCAGCTTCATAAATGTACATAACATTTAGAGCGCGCACACTTTCGACTAAACTATACAATTGTTTCGTCTCGCTTTTATTCCTATGATCTTATAAGGAGGTACACACTACTCGATTTTTAGTTGTGCAACTAAACAGTTGAAGGCTGCGAAACAATCGCATAACAATAGGCAATATGCATATGACGCCAAATTGTACCAAACTTTTCTTAAGTATACTTTATTATTATAAAAACATTCCTACGAAGATTTTTTTAAATGTAATGAGACTTAGTAGCAAAATTTAATCATTAAAAAGTGTCTTTTTTAAAATTCCCTCGCTAAGTTCTAAAACGCACAACATTAGTGGAAGCAAGTGGCTTATCTAATATGGCGTCGCTGTGTTGTCAATACACAGTTCATTTACTTTAGTTTATATATAAATACACTCTTGAAGTATTTTACTGTAAACACGATATCAAAACCAACTTTAAAATAAAAAAAATAATGAATAGAATTATTAATTAGCACTTATTTGTACCAGGAATAATAAAAATGAATCGATTTTTGACTTTTTGACCTTGAGAAGCAATGAGATACTTTGTTTTTTACAACGAAGTGACATCTGAGCGTATGTTATGAATGGAATATGACGATTGACGTCAATTGTCTATTGACAACTCAGGTTACGTTTTAGTCGCTCGAAAATGGTCGTAATTTTATTTTATTATTAAATATTTTCGCGTCAATTTTTTTTTCTGGTTATTTCATAACAAGTAGAATCGTTTAAAAAAATGCATATTCCCTGTTGTGCGATAGACTTTAAAATCTTTTATACGCCTTCGGTATATAAAATCGCATATTCGTGAATAATCTGGCTACGTCTACAAACAACAGTCTACAAACGAATTTTTAAAAAAGCTACAAGTTTAATTAAGTCTAGTAAATGTACATGTAGCTGACTGTACAAATATCAATTTCATACAGTAATCGATTCTATTAAAATGTACTTTCATTTTCACTAATACTCTAGATGTATTTAGAAATAAAAAGGGAAGTGTTAACGACAGAGAAGGGGACAGATAGATTTCCCCTTCTCTACCATCATCTACCAATTTTTTATGAGAAATTCACCATTAATATGTACTACTTTCGGTTTACATCATTTTTAATTAGTTTTATAGATGACGTTGGTGACTATTTTGAAAAGTGGTTCTTTGGCGGTGGTTTTCTGTCGGAAGAGTTGTGCCTGCTGGTACCTGCAGTCGCCGGAGCCGCCGCTCAGCTCGCACGTCACCACCGCACATTTAAATTGACGCGAAAACTTTATCCCACCGTCTGCAACCACAGACAATTCACTTTTTTATCTTACTAATATTATAAATGCGAAAGTTTAGATTGATGGATGTTTGTTAGAGATTGTAGCCTATACGGCTGAACGGATTTCGATGAAATTTGGTATAGACGTAGAGGATAGTCTGGAAAAACACATAGGCTACTTGCTTTTGTTTTTTTTTTAATTCCAAGCGGATGGAGTCGCGGGCGGGAGCTAGTAATAATAATAATAATATAATTATAACAACTCGATTAACTTCAACACTCAAATTACCGATACCCGTCAGTATGACGCGCTATTCCATAATCTTTCTGAATGACATTGACAGCTGTCGTAGGGACGGACGCTGCGATGTCTAGTGTTGCGCCGATTTCTTAAGTATCGATGTTTTCCGATTTTAGAATTTCCATGCGGTTTCATCCGCATGAAATTATAAAACTATATTTTATTGTATAAATTAAATAAATGATGCATTTATACATCAGTCTTTTCTTCCTTACCCAATAGACTATTTGGGAAAAAAAAATTTTTTTCCTCTTAATGAATGTCAAATTTACTACCAATTATGGTTTTTAAAAAGAAAAAGTCGTGCTTTTAAGGATTAAAGAACGAAGGCCTTTGCCATTGGCTGTCACTATGGCAATGTTGATTCTTTGCTGCTATTGGCTTGTAGTTTTTGTCCCTTTGTACTGTCTTGTAGGGATTGAACTAACCGACACTGAAGTATTGCGGTGGGTCGTTGTCGATCTGCACGGAGCCGCGCACCACACCATCGTCGAAGGTGGTAGAGAACGCCACCACTATCAGGTCCTCCATCACCAGGTCGTCGTACTCCACCTCCAGCTTCCATGATATCTGACCCTTCTCCTCGCGCTCTGATAAACATTTCTTCTATACTAATATTATAAAGAGGATGGATTTCTATTTTATATGTATTGAAATGACTCAAAAACTACTGGGGGCGATTTAAAAAAATCTTACACTATTAAAAGTTATCGCTGAGTAACGCTATATACTAATGTAGTAACGCTACATTTCACGTAAACCATCCAAACTCGAGTGAAACTTCTAATAAAACCACAGTATAAGTTAAGTATAATAATTACCCTTCCAAACTACCTATACCCATGTAATTCGTCGATTTTGTCCGGGTGAAAATAAAGAATAATAAAAACATAGCCTGTGTTATTCACAGATTAATTACCTTTCTAGTTCTTTAATTTTTAAATGGTCCTAGTAGTTAATACATATAAAAATACAAATTATTCCTCTTTATAGTATTATGAGCGTCGGTGGCTCAGTGGTTTGAACACTTGACTTGTATTCCACAGGTCTTGGGTTTGAATCCCGCCGCCGTGTACCAATGTGATTTTTGAATTTTCATATGTACATAATTTACCCGACGTTCTTACGGTTAGACATTACAGTAAGTTAAAATAGATGAACCTGCCTTTACACAGGGCCTTTAGGGAGGGATACAGAAAGGTAATATTTTCCAATGTACAAACGGAGAAACTGAGTTCCAACTTAAAAGCCAGAATCGTTTGACCATTTTGAAAAGAGACGCGGAACAAAACCAATACAAACGCAACTTAATAATGTATTTGTACAAAAAAAGTCGGATAGTTAGACGGATAGATTTTTGCACTCACTGTTACCTAATTAGTTATTTGGAGGAAGAGGCTTGCAGTTAACAAGGTAGTTTGTCCTAAAGTGGAATACTGCTTTCCGCGACTGCATCCCCAAAAAAATGACCCTGACTCCCCCTTATCTTTGTATACAGAAATAGAGTTAAGTACATACCATATCTCGCCAAGTAGACCTGCTTCCAGTCTTTCTCGACTTTCCTGAAGATGTGCTGGTTGTCGTAAGCACCTTCAAGGTAGGATTCGATGACGGTCTCTATTTTACCGTCGCAGAAGACGCGGTACTCGTCCGCGGCGGTATGGTAGTGTATGCTGTACGCGCCGGGCTTCACGAACTGGAAGCTGTGTCTGGGCACGCCCACCTCGCCGCGTTCGTCGCGCCACTCCAGCGCGCCCGACATGCGCCCGTTCTTCTCGTATTCACTCGGCTCCCTGATTAAACAACGCTATCAACATCGCCAGCGGACGCAGGGAGTACAAAATAGTAATAAATAGGAAGCAAGCAATTACAGCATATTTTTGATGCAATTACAGCAAATTTTTGAATAGCTCTTTTTTTAATAAAAAGCCCTACACTTACGCCACGCTTTAGGCAATATATTTTCACGTCATTAAACTTAGGGATAAATATTTTGGATAAAAAACCCTACTGTGGGAAAGAGACCATAAGTTGCTGAAAAAAATCAAGGAAACAAAATAGCCATACTTTGTCTTCATGTCATGTCATTTCGACATTTGCAATTGAATTTGACAAATGTAATCAATAAAACAATTTTCATAATTTCATGCGAATGAAGTATGAACAGCATAGTAAATAAAGTAATTTAAAATGCTAAGATACCAAAAATCTCGAGGGACCCATAGATAACTCAAAAACTAAACGGTTTTTCATTATAATTAAGACCACATAATAATAAACATTGTCTATGGAAAAAAAAACAATTTTACTAATCTTGATCATCGGCTGACGAGACCCATTTACGTTGATAGACACGGTGGTAAGGAAAGCAAAGGTAATAAAAAACAAATAGGAAAATCATACAGTAATCAAAACAACTATATTCACACTCTGTAAATGTATTTTTTGTTATACTGTTAACAAACCTTTCCTTCATAAGCTGCACGAGCTCCTTGAGAGTGCGCTTGGTGAGGTAGTCGACGCGCGCGGGCGACAGCTGCGCGTGGCGCGCGCCGCGCAGCGACATCATGTACCACACCAGGTCAGACTCCGCGCACAGCGTGCGGCGCCGCATCACCTGCCCGGCGCAACACCGCGCAACACACGCTCAACAGTGCAACTCATGTTCAACAATACAACTCACATTCAACAATACAACTCACATTCAACAATACAACTCACATTCAACAATACAACTCACATTCAACAATACAACTTAAATTAAACAATACAACTCTCATTCAACAATGCAACTCATGTTCAACAACTAAACTCACGCTCAATAACTCAACTCACCTCCAACAACACACTACATGTTTATCAACACACGTTCAACTATACACTTCACATTACAACACACACTCACACAATATGCAAATTTTGTGTCAGTGCGTACCTGCTTGTGCTTGATAGTGTACCGCCAGGTGACGTCCTGCAGGTCGTCACGCGACACCGCGATGACGTAGGCGAGGCGCGTGCCCCAGCCGCAGCTGTACACCAGCGGCGCGTCCACTATGCACTCGCACGGGTCCACGTGCAGCCACTTGTCCGCCGAATAATCGAAGACCTACACACCACCTCGCACTATGACAACGCTAGCTACTGGCCCCGACACCCGTTAACCATCATGCTTCCGTGACCAAGGAAACTACTTCTAAGGAATAGGAATAGGGCCAGGTGGAGTCAGTCCATTAGGGAGGATGCGAAAATTGTAACACAAGTATATAAATCCATTTAAGACAGTAAGGTTTCTCCAATCGTATAGGCAAAAACAACTTATAAGTATTTCATTAAAGTATCCTCTTTGGAAATAACAAACAGTTACTACTAGGTCCCCCTTGGTCATCGTATGACGAGGACCAAACACTAAAAGTGTAGGTCTTGTTTCTATCGGCTTAAAATTAGACCAATCTCTAAAGCGTCTTTGGCTGTTTGTTTAAAGAACGTGTCAGAGAGACAGTAAGTATAGTAAATACATAAAGTACAGGAAGCACAAAAAGTACAGTAAGTACGTAAAGTATAGTATATACAAAAAGTACAGTAAATAAATCAAGTATAGTAAATACAAAAAGTACAGTAAGTAAATAAAGTACAGTAAGTACAATTAGTACAGTTGTGTGTACCTCGACCCAGACATGGTCGTTGGTGTCAAAGACGTGTCGCGTGTCATATCCGAGCGCGCGGCAGAGCAGCGCGAAGCAGTTGGCCCACTCGCCGCAGCGGCCGCGGCGCGTGCGCAACAGACTGCGCACGTCGTTGTACCGCGGGAACAGCGTCTCGCGCTCGCAAATTGTGCATTTGAACACCTGATCAAGCAAACATGCATCAACAAGGCCTGACAAATTTGTGGTAGCAACAATGGTGACAGGTAGAGCGAAACAAATCATAATTGACATGCTAAAAAAGGCTAAAAAAGGGGATTCCCTGTCAAACTTTTTTTTTCTCAAACTGAACAAACAACAAAATCACTACTTTAGTTCTTGATATTTTTAAGATAGGGCTTTGCCTCTCAATGCCTCCCACTAGCTACAGACATGCGCACCAGTTAATTTTTGAAAAATAAAACTTACCAAATTGTAGTACATTTAGGGACTGTCCCACCACTGGCTGATAGAGGCTCAGATAGCTTAAAAATGACGTCACTTTCAGATAAGGGAACAAAATCCGATATCTCCATCACATATTTTACATGTTGGATTCTGATCAGACTATTTACAATTTGGTGAGACAGGCCCTAAATACAAATGAGTATGCTTTGTGTAAAATAAAAAAGTGGTGTGAGGTGCATTTGCTTTAATATCCCTCAAATGTTTGTTGTATCTTAAATTTATTTGCAATAACTTAACTTATATGTCAAAAATACCACAAAATCCTCGTCATATGTCGGACTGTAACTATTTTGCTTAGTTCAGAAAATTATTAGTAAATAATAAATACATTATTACAATAGTTAATACTATAAATAATTAATACATCATTTGATAGTCTAAATCATATTTTAACTAGCTGTTGCTCGCGATTTCGCCAGCGTGAAATTAAAAAAAGTTTATATTACTCACAGATAAATTACCGTTCTAACGATGAAAAAAATTTCAAAATTGGAACAGTAGATTTTGAGTTATTGAAAAATACAAATCAGCGGGGTTAGACAGTAAAAATCAAAAAACGAAACGTTCCATCGTTTCGTCTAAGCGATAGCGTCTCTCGTTTTCCCGAGAAAGCTAG